TTTTAGAACGATACACACGAACCTGCCTCGCCTGTCTTTATATAGCCTTAGATGTTGCGATAAACTTAACCGAAAACCTAGTATACTAATTATAATGTATTTTCCTTCCAAAGTCTTAATACTCAGAATAATATTAATAACTTAATGATTTCCAAGGTATGAATTATAAGTATGTAAGGCCTGCTTCAGCCTTGCATAGGTTAAGTAAGAAAGTTAGCTGTAAGAACGTATACAATGAAAGCTATAATTTGAACATTAGGATCGTTTTAACCTTTGTCTCACATTATCCAAAGGATTGTGAAAACACCCTTTAATGTAACAATTTGTTTTCTTTATTTGTTCTATCACTTCGTGTCGTCACTAATTACGAGTATTACTGCCTTGTCGATTAATACTCAAACGCAACTTTGCAGTATTTGAATTGTGTCCCATGTACAGGGCACAAAACATAAATGTCGTGGTGACCAACAGAATGATAATTATTGCATTCTTGCTTTTAAGTACAAACATAAATATCAATTTCATAACCGAAGATTTCAGTTTCCTCCTTAAACTAGAAGCATTATGATATGAATTAATCTAGTTGAACGTATCAATTGGGTACAATATCTTTATCATTAGAGCTAGTTTGTAAACACAGTTGGATCAGTCGGTCAATTCTACAGTTATTTTTTTGTAGAAATGATGTTGCCTTTACCAGGTGAAAGAACTACACATTCATAAATACCGTATTGTGATCACTGATGTTAATAAATAAGAATAAATAATAGACACATTGTGCCATATTTTATCACATTGATATAAAGAGCAACAAAGAGTGTTTTCAGCGTATTGTGACTCTGTGTACAAAAGACCCTTGATCAATCTTTAGCATCCTTACCACAGAAAGGCTCTAATAAGAAAATTTGATTCTTTGCAGTTCTGTTTACCACCGTATCTCGGAAGTAAAAGTTTCCCCCTTATATTTCTTGTAATGAAAGCTGTATTTCTAAGTGATGCTTAAGTCCTACATATATATGGTTAAAGCACATTTAAAAAAAAAAATCAAAAAAATCAAAAAAAATCAAATATGCGAAGGATAAAATCGTGTGAGTGATCGTATCATTTTTGACCATATATTTTTTTAGTTCGGCTGCAAGGATTTACGGCAGACTGTTGGCACACCCATTTCGAGTAACTGTGCTCCTTGCTTGGGCGATCTGCAATTGATGTAATACGAGTAAGAAAGTATAGAGAACTTACCAGGACAGGTAACATAACCACGCCTAGTACGTCATGTTTACCTCACATGCATTGTTAATTAACAAGATAATTAGTCACCACGTTAACAGTGTTTACCTTCCTTTATGGAAGTTAAGGTAACTACATGCTCTTCTAAAACAGGCGCTAAATTCGATCTTCTCTTACAAAATGACCAACAGGGACGAGTTACAACAAAACAGCATGATAAGCATGACAATTTCGTTATTCCGATCGTTATTTAATTTTCTTGATAATAACCTACCTGCTTCTCCAGCCGCCGACGTTTACATGTTGTAGTTAATTTGATAGTAACGGCCTTGATCGGAATATCACGATTTCTGTGATACACAAAGATGTCAAATATCGAATTACAAACTTATCATATAAGGGTTTCGTGAGGTGCAAATTTGATGTTTGCACTCATCACCTCTTTCTCTATTCTTGTGCGATATTTATGCCGACGTTTTTATTAAGTTCATTAATGTTTCTTATGGTTTCGTTAACATTAAGCTGGGGCATTACCATAATTAACCTATATTCACATAGTGAGATTTAACGATGAATCTGCAGACGCTTCCTTTTTCGGAACACCTGATCTATATTCCCTTTGTACGTTTGAAATAGTTTTCGTTCAAGTCGTTTTAATGTGATATGTACCCTTGGCTTTACCTGATCATCATTACATAGGGCAGACTTAGCTGGGTCTAACATATCAGACATGGACTGGTGTAAGTACACAGATTGTACTTTACATGGATAATTGACTACAATTAAATATTCAGAGACCACCTTTAGGAAGTCAATAAAGTGTCATTTACTGACTTTAATTTCTTAACATAAGTTTACTTAGTATGAAGTTTACTGCAGTAGGGAGTTTTTGAGTGGCATCTGACATAGACAGTCTCTTCCTCTGCAGGGATAGAAATTAATTTTTAAAATCCAATAGTCAGTCGAGCTAGTAGTTTCCAATTTTACTAGTCTGCGTGCCAATTTTACTAACCCAATATTATTCAAAAGTAAGGTCAAATTTTGACAAGTTAAAAGACTGGTACCTAATTATTTTTATTGATAGTCTCTTACTTCAGGTACAGTTTATATGACATTGGCAGTACATTGAAACTGCTCTCAAGAGACCATGCCACATATGTACATATGATACTTATATGTAAAGGTACTATATATAGCTAAACTGATGATAAATCATGTAACTTAAAGGATAAAAAAGTACTTTTATACAGGTATGGCTATATACAGATAATAAAGAAAACAGCTATATTTGTTTAACATGTTTGCCATGAGATATTGGATTATATCAAATCAACATAGTTCCTGCTTGTCACACTATGTCAAATATCGAAACTTTAATCTACTATTAACCAATCAAAAGAAAACGTTTTACTCACTGCATGAAAAGCCAGAGATTTTTATAAACTATTGCACATATTTAACTACATAATCCATTTCATATTTTGGAACAAATCATCTTACGATATACTAACAAAAAAAACCCGGCAGAATTGCGCAGAGCCTTTTTATCAAGCGTGACATAAATGGAATATAGCGTCAATCGTAATGCTGTTTATTTCCCATCATTTTCGTCTAGGAAGATACTTAAAATTTAATAAAAATGCATTTTAACTTGAATACCAAATTTTCTGTTAGTGCTATGTCAGTATAACAGTAGGAATATTATATGCCGGGACGACAGCTCAGAGGCGCCCGCTCTTTTTCTAAGACAGTAAGAATAGTATATGCCGAGACGACAGCTCAGAGGCGGCCGCTCTTTTATCAAGACAGTAGAAATATTATATGCCGAGACAACAACTCAGAGGCCTCCGCTCTTTTATCAAGACAGTACAAATATTATATGCCGATACAACAACTCAGATGGACCTGTATTGGCTTTTATTAAGGCAGTACCAATACTATATACTGATAAGAAAACAGTCATAAACTGTAAGGTACCATGATCAAAAATGATACAGAAGATACAAATGTAACGTAATGACCAACAGACGGTGGTCAGGCGGGACCAGATTACACATGACGATTATATGGATATTTGGAGTGACAATTCAATGGCAATGACTTTATCTTAATGCGATGTGTCTTCATCTTCATTGATCTGGAATATATATGTATGAAGATATATAACGGACAACTTAACAAACGTGTTCCTATGGATACCGGCTATAGATTCACGACGTCACAGAATGCAAAGAAGGAATCTTAAACATACGTTTGAAGGTATTATAACCATACAACAGGTATACAAATAATAAATAATGCGAGCTTACACATATGTTTTAGCTATGATTACAATTTTCAGGGTCGGAAAGCAACCTTACACATTCGTATGAAGCTATGGTAACCGTCTATGTAAAGGTGATAAATACATAAACAAAAAACAAGTGATGGCAATATATGTGGACAATTATGCAACCTTACTCATTCGTCTTTAACAATAGTTACCGTATATAGGGACGAAACGACACAACACGTTAACAAGGCATCTTACACATACATATCTAGATTTGGATTCTGGTTTGGGAATCTGGGTGATATCCCATAAGTAGAAGATTGTAATATGAATGAACTAAAAACCCATCTCGAAATATAGGTAAGTTGCGTTTTCCCCCGGTTTATCGAGAGTGTTTGTAGTTTTTATGCTAATTGAACTGTGTTTTTCTCCTATCGATTGCTATCTAGCTAGTTGTGATATCGACTTCTAAGGTGAGCCTGCATTTGTCGTCCTGGAATATCCTATTATCAGCCTGGCTTAATATCAAATGGAGACAATGCCACTCTCATACAACCAAATAGACGGAAAATGTTTAAAATAGTGGCTTTAAAGAGAGTAAATTATAGTGCTTCGTTATCGTATCTTTTTAGTCTGAAATTGAAATGAAGCCAATGTGGTCCTTTGACAGACAGACTTGATGGCTGAAAATGGTTGTCAAGGGACAGCCGGAAGTGGACCACTAGCTTGATGGGATCCCGAGACGGCTTTAGATTTCAGCATTAAAGAGCGGGAAATGATCTAATCAAAGTGTAAATGTAGACATAATAAATTTAGATCCTTAATTTCCTATATACATTATCAATGTGTCGATGCTGTATGACTTCTGACTTACGTCCAGAGTATTGTTACAAAGCCTGTTTAGATATATTGTCGCCATCATTGTTCTCACTGAACGGCAGATGCTAAACAAATACTGCGTCACGCAAAACGTAGGTGTCTAGTCCGTGATGACGTTATGAGTTATGGTAGCGTGATTCCATACATAGTCTAGTCCGTGATGACGTTATGAGTTATGGTAGCGTGATTCCATACATAAGACATATTAATATGTGACAAATTACTTGGAGCTATAATAATAAAGAAACATATAGTACTCTAAACACAAATGTAAGGAAGTAGAAAAGTCACACACATCGATATATAAAGAGGTCACATATGTAAGGTTATTTTAACTGACACTATCTTTATTGTTTACAAATAATTAATTCAATTAACTTTATTAATACAAAGTAGATGATTGGTTTTACCTGTTATTTCTGATCAATTACCTTTTAAATACATTTTGTATAAAATAGTTGAACACATCCAAGATCTCTGGCAACATCAATCTGAAGACAGAAGTGTGATATCATGTGATAGGGGTACAGCGCGTGTTAGCTGAATCTGACTCTAAATTTAAACTCGTGTACACTGTAGGTAGTTATTTTATGAATGTAAAAACGAGGGAAAATACCACTTTCAGGTTCCGGTCTTTTATTTAATGATACAGAAAAGACCCTACAATGTAAAGGAATAAAATATATAATTATCTAATCTCACAGGCAGTTGTACATTACTATTTGATATATTTATCACGATTGCATATTAACTTAAATGAGAGTTCACATACATTACATAAATATATTTACTATGAACCATGATATGCAATATCTGGACATACAATTCATTAAAGCGATATGCTGTTATGATGTTACTTGATGTATATAAATAGTTAATGATAAATACTTATTAGTTATACATACAACATTTACATCTAATTAGCGATCAATACATGAGTATTCTGACACCTACCCTGACAATGGGTCAAGGGTCTTAGTAAGAATTTCGTCTGGATTACCAGGACAATGTATCAGCTGAAAATATAATAAACAACTAATAAAGCAATGCTATATATTATAGATCACCTTACGATACATGAATTATAAAGACAACTGAATTCATTCATAAAACATTACGTATTCGTGATCAAATAATGGACTTTATATATTTAGATATATAAACGTTGTTAACATACAATTTGATTATAAATGATTCAAACGAGATTGCTTACAATAGAAGTGCTTTAATTGCACGTACATATTTATGTAAGAACCTACCTAAAATCTGTATCAAAACGACACTGTCATCTGTCCGCCTGTCGGCAATGGCTGCCTCTATTTAACTCCCGCCAAACACGAACAAAACTGACCACAACCACGTGAACCAAAACGACACAATACATGAACACATAAATCGATGACGTCACACAGGTAAATTGGACATACATACACAGGTATATATAACATTAGTGGCTTCTTGTCTACGACGCCAAGGTGCGGTTTCGCGCAACTCTATTTATACCGAAACAGCAGAACTAACGCGGTATTAAAATCGACCCTATTACATGAATATGAGCCGCATAACACCTAAAACATTCTGAATTTCCACAGGAAAATGATGATTGTTAAGTTTCTCATCTAACACAAAGTTCGCGCCCATACGATTTGTCAAATAATTACAATGCAAGATTGTCTACTGCAAAACTAATATCCATATAAGAGTAGTTCAAGACTAGCTGAGAACATCACCAAAAGGCCTAATTTATGTTTGTGGTCCACAAGATTACGTTGTCTCTAATAAGATCTAGGTCATTAAAAAAAACCAGTCGGAATATTTTTTCGCGTTTTCGGAATGTACTACCGGAACAGTGTTGTATTCCTTACATATTCCCGTCTAATGGGAGTTGGACATTAACGCTGTGTTGCTATCATTGTCGAGGAAATGATATATCCTGTATAAAACTCCTGCTGTAATAGGAGTTGTTCATTAATATTTAGGCTGCGTTAATTCTGTAGACAGCTCCTGGTTAAATGGGTGATGTACATTATTATTTATGCTACGTTAATTCTGTAGACAGCTCCTGGTTTAATGGGTGTTGTACATCATTATTTAGGCTGCGTTAATTCTGTAGACAGCTCCTGGTGTAATTGGTGTTGTACATCATTGTTTAGGCTGCGTTAATTCTGTAGACAGCTCCTGGTGTAATGGTTGTTGTACATTATAATTTAGGCTGCGTTAATTCTGTAGACAGCTACTGGTGTAATGGGTGTTGTACATTATAATTTAGGCTGCGTTAATTCTGTAGACAGCTCCTGGTGTAATGGGTGTTGTACATTATTGTTTAGGCTGCTTTAATTCTGTAGACAGCTCCTGGTTTAATGGGTGTTGTACCTTATTATTTAGGCTGCGTTAATTCTGTAGACAACTCCTGGTTTAATGGGTGTTGTACATCATTATTTAGGCTGCGTTAATTCTGTAGACAGCTCCTGGTGTAATGGGAGTTGTACATTATTATTTAAGCTGCGTTAATTCTGTAGACAGCACCTGGTGTAATAGGAGTTGTACATTATTATATAGGCTGCATTAATTCTGTAGACAGCTCCTGGTGTAATGGGTGTTGTACATTATTATTT